GACTGCGGTCCCTTTAAGAGTTTATCCACGGACCCAATATACTGTTACACAACATGCGTTCTCCTTCTCAACTATTTAGCGTTCCAAAACTGACTGTTTAACTGGATACTCGCCAAGACGGGCATTTTGACATAATTTTGTATGTATTTGACCGTTTTAGTGCAGTTAGCCACTAATTTTGGTATTTGTGGCTCATAAGCTGTTTGAGACTGAGCGCGGCTTGTGCACTCCACTAATATAGATCAGTGGTGGTGCGCGCTTTTGGTGTAAGCGCGAAACCTGAGGGAATGACTAAAATAATGCGCAATACAAGCACTATTTAACTGGAGCGAATGAGACATGTGTGAGAGAGAAGGGGTCGTCGGAGAGAAGAGAGTGAGTATGCGTGGCTGACGTTATTGCCTGTGCCGCTGGTAACAAAACGGATCGGCTCGGAATTGGAAAGAAGTGAGACTGACCGACCGATCACCGATCCGGGCTGATCATGAGGAAAATCGGCCGATTCCATCTCTAGTTTAGACGTTACTATTACTTTAATATAAAACAAACAAAAGAGTCTGCAGTGCATCCTCGTGTATGTGTGAAGCACAGTCACAGAGCACTGAGGGCATTTAGAAACTCAGACAGGATGAGCAAGAGAGCGATGCAGAGGAGAAAAGAGGCAGAGAGGAGGTTAGTGGAGGACAGTGTGTGTGTGTGTGTGTGTGTGTGTGTGTGTTGCTGACAGCGCTCAAAGAGACTCCAAACACCACACAAGAATCCAGAACGCCCTCAACTGCCCAAGAGATGCGGATTAGCTCTTCCTGATTATCTGCCCTGTCACACTGCCGTCATCCTTCACTCTCTCAAAAGACAAACACAAACACAATGGCAACTCAAAACGAGAGAGTGCACAAATCAGACATCCGTGTTGTCATTCAGACCAATAGCACCATTACAGTCATGTGTATTTATGTATATAAATAACCATTTGATGCATATGTATTGAACACATCGAAAATAGCATTTATTTGACCGAAATTTAAAAATGTTTATATGGTTACCAATGAATGGGACGCTACATTTTATTCAAAAGCTGTTGGATATTGACTAAATATCTTCTAATCTATACCTTTTGGCTTTAATAAGATTTCCCCGAAAAACAGGCAAGAATGAATAGGCTGTCCACCGTGATTTCTGTTCTTTAAGACAACAAAGCACTTGAACACGACAAACTCGTAATTACAATTTCAGAAGTGGGAAGTAGGAAGTTTCTGATAGCATGTGAAGGCAGCATTACTGTCATGCGTCTCCAAAAAAAAACCATAGTGGCATTCTCAATGAATCACTGTTTTTTAACAAATCAGTTCAGTGGATGATTCACTGACTCCCTTACTTGTTTTAATCCTGGGTGTGTTTGAACGAATCAGTCGAGTAAATGATTCACTGACTCACTCGCTTGTTTCGTTCTTTAATGAATTACTATTTTCAAACAAATCGGTTCAGTGAATTATTCAGTACCTTACTCATTTGTTTTGTATCTGAATTAATAAGTGGTTTTAAACAAATAGGTTGAGTGAACGATTCACTATCACTCATTTGTTTTTAATTCCTATGAATGGATGTTTTTGAATGAATCAGTTGAATCAAGGATTCAATGATCCACTCACTTATTTCGTTTTGACTGAATCAGTGTTTTTGAATGAATCAGTTGAGCGAATCACAACTACGGTCACTTACCGCCCTCTACTATCGTAATTATGTAACTTACAGAAATAGTGAAAAATTCACACAAATAATGTGCAAATTGACAGTCTGACAGATTTACAGATTTATATCTACCTTGTATTTTATTGTTATTTTACTATTTTATTGTTTACATTTCTTCAGTAATGTGTTTGTTTGTTTGTATTTCTATAATTGTTATTATATTTATTTATTTACATACATACATGTTTGACTGCATTATGCATTACCACAATAGGGGTGCATTCATTTTCAACAATTCAAAAATTCATAAGCTAATTAATAACAGATAAATATAAATGAATAAATACATATGTATATTTATATTCACATACAATATATATTATTTAAATGCATAGGAACAATGTGAAAAACACTCATGAATATTAATTACGAGATGCATATTAATTGTGTGGTGCTACATTCACAGAGTGTTTTCAGTGTTTTGTTTTACTCCTAAGAAAAAACACAACTAATTATGTAACATTGTTGCCTTATACGGCAAATAAATGTAAGTTGTTTGGTTGTGTTTGACGTGTCGTTACTGCTCTTTTGTTGTTGTGGCTGTGAGGGCAAGTCTCTCAGCTGTCAGAGGGCAGTTTCACACAGCGACGGTCTCAGCTAAAACGACATATTAGGGCCACTGCAGCTTCGCTCAGAGCATCTGTTTTCACTCTCTCCTTCTTCACAAGAGAAGGAAAGGGGATCTTGTCTTTGTGATGAATTGCGGTGGGAATTACAGCGGTAAAAACACTCGTCTCTTTCATCCGTTGTTCTCTCCTCTCGGCACGTCAGCTCTAATTGGGGCGGTGACGGAGGCGAGTCGCCATCCACAGCCCAGTTTCCTTTCCAGTGTTTCATTGACAAAGGACATATCTGCAGCCGCAAGCCATCCTGGCTGAAAATGCACCATCCATCCCCAAAGACTTTGATACCTGTCCTGCAGCCATACTGGCCCAATCGCAGCTGTACATCCCAGCTGGCTTTCATTGCCGCCCGACGGCCATTTTGGCTCAGACATGACGAAGTGCTCCCTAAAATGCTGGACAAAAAAGCTCACGTTAACGTTGGCTCAGCTGGTGCCGTTCATTTGCAAAGGAGCGCAGATGAAACTGCTTTGGCCCTCAGCATTACAATTTGTCTCATTTTTGCTCTAAAAACAAACTCTCACTCAACCAGCTTCCTCTCCCTCAGGTCAGATCCTTCACACTAGACCAGAGTCTGTCTGTTCGGTTGTTGTGAAAGCTGTTGGATTCAGTTTGCATGACATGCAATTCATCTATGAGACAATAACGCATTTTTCATTGCTTTCTCTTGCCATTTGAGCTTGTTTGATTTTGATGGTAAAACCAATGTGACAAAAAAACTAAAGTGAAGCACTTTCCAATGTTGGTATTTTCTAACTACGAGTCTTTGCTACAGCGAACCCTGGTTTGAATCAAACAATCAAGTATAAAAACTACAGACGAGAGAGAATATATGTGTACACTAGCAAAATCGACCTATTTCCTTCCCTAATACATGATCCTGATCTTACTGTGAACGATTCTTTCGTTCACATTATTCCAAAGGATAAATGAGTGTTTGTCTAAGCAATATTTCATCAATATAATCATGATTTTACTTTTCAGCTGACCTCACCCACTACTTGTCACAAATGGAGACACAGTTTTCACCACACAATCAATTCCTTGTGGACAAAATCGGATGCTGTCCAACATTTTTACATTTTACATTTCAATAGGATGCAAGCCACATTATAAAAGTAAAATGGGTTGTGAACATGTTGATTTTAACCATATAAAGCTGAATGTACAGTACATGTATTTCTAAGGCCTCTAAATGTTCAACACGGTCAAAACTTTCTTTTGATCACAATCTACTACATGCCTTCTGTCAAATCTTTACTGATTTTTATAAAGTAAATATAAGAATAACTTTGATATTTCATGAACACTTACTGGACTGAAGCAGCTTAGCTTGATTATCCAGTTTGAGTCTCTAAATAAAACTAAGCTGGGTTTTTTTCTCTCCATATTCTCACTGTATCAGACTATATGAACCATAAAGGCCTGATGGATCAAATATGACACTCAATAAAAAACACATTCAAACTTATAAACTCTTCCTTTTAGAAAAATTTAATTTTTCTGACTATTATTTCACGTCATCATTCAGTCACTACACAATCTCAATGTGAAACCTCTTGAGTAATGAATGAGATGCTGTTAGAGCCATCAGGATGGTCAGAAAACCCAAGGTCCGTTCACTCACTGACTCCAGCTGTTTGCCTCCCCGTGGCTTAATTAGATGAAGTGCCAGAGGCCACTCCGGCTCCTCGGCTCAGCGTGCCAGTGCAGATTCAGCCATTGCGGCTCAAACGCCGCATGACACGCACAGGCTGTCGGACGCTACGGCTGCCCACTGGACATGAGGGGGTCAGACAACTCAGACAGGCTCATTTTAATTCAAATCCCACTTATTCTCGCTCCCTCTTTCTCTCAGAGGAATGCAGGTCAAGTATCTAATCACAGCAATGCAGAGCCATGTCAGGTGGGACTGTAAACTCTGACCCCAGAAACCACAAGAGTTGAAGAATTATGCAGCCGTATGAAACACAGGAGAGAGACTGTGAGGGCACAGGGTCAAAGGTCACGCTATCATGTTTGGGCTCTTCTACTGAATCTGGAACCTGGCTCATTACTGTCTTTTTATTTATTTTTTTATATTATATATGCGCTATAATATTTATGAGAACTAATAATATTTATTGCGTGGATTTTTGACTACTGGTCAAAGAAATTAGAATTTGTATTCAGCAAAGACACGTAAAATTGATCCAAACTGACAGTAAATACATACAAAAGATTTATATTTCAAATAAATATCTTCTGAACTTTCTATTCATCAAAGAATCCTGAAAAAATAAAATTAATCGCGGTTTCCACAAAAATATGAAGCAGCAAAACTGTTTTCAAAACTGATAATAATCAGAAATGTTTCTTGAGCAGCAAATCAGCATATTGATTTCTGAAGGATCATGAGACACTAATGATGCTGAAAATTCAGCTTTGAGCACGGGAAATAAATTACATTGTAATTTATATTACAATAGAAAACAGCTATTTCAAATTGTAGTAAGATTTCACAATTTTGATGTTTTAATGTATTTTACTGTTTTACTCTATAAATTCATACTGACACAACGTTTTGAATGACAGACAGACAGACAGATAAATAGATAGATGTTCACTCACCATCAGCAGTTCTGCTCTTGGTCTGTGAGTGTGATTTAGGTTTCAGTTCTGATTGTGGGTTCGACTCGCTGTCTGTAAGAAACAAATATTACCCGTTACACACACATAGAATCAGGCATAAATACTCTTCATTTTTCTGCAACGACAGTTACAGTCAGTCGACCGTATTTCACAGCACTGTGTGCTTTGTTAATAATATATGATAACTGAAGTCCAATTCATAATAAATATTATTCATATCATATAGTCACACTGTTAGGTGAACATGTTCCTCTGATCAAAAGAATCGAAAACAACAGTAAGGAGTCGATTCCAGAATCAGCAATCAGAATCGTTTCCAAAACTGAGGAATCAAACTGCCCTAAATAAGCTGCTCTGCACATTCGTTTTATAGCTGTACCATATCTTCTGACTAATTGATGTCTAGGAATTTTATGAGAAATATCTGAGACATCTGAGATATGTATGTAATAATACATAATAATAATTCATGTATCTTGATATGTAAACAAAGCCTGACAGAGAACTCCAAGTCTTGTGGGAATTGAAAGACCAAAGGCCAATGAAAGAGCAAAGTCGAGCAGTGCCCAATAGAAAATCTACACAAACATCTGTTTTTACATTGCATTTAATAATAAACCTGATTTGCAGGAGACGTGTCAATGCTGAACAGAATGAAATTCTGAATCAAAATACTTGTGCCGCATTATTACACCAGTGCAGGTTCGTGAAAAAGACACATGTTCTTGAAATACCATGTGCTTAGTGAATTCAGCCTGAACCTCTTTTTCAGTTTTATTTATGACAAAGAAAGTTTTTTGTGCTGCCTGACACGCTCTCTGTCTCTCTCTCTGACTGTGTCACAGGGGAATAAAATGCCAAATCAATTCACAGCCCAGTGTGTGTGAGTGTGAGTGTGTGTGCGCTGTTTCTCTATTCATTGTGGGAACAATGTTTTTTTTTTAATTCTTTGTACATTTCTTTCATTTTTATCCTTTTCCTTCATTCCTTCTGTCCATCTTTGTGAACACAGGGTCAAACAGAGAACAAATATAACTAGCCACTATCAGAAACACCACCAAAATAAAACCTCAAACCAATTTCCTGCATGTTTACTCTCTGATCTTCCCCTGAGGCAGCGTGTGCATGTGTGTGTCTTTTTAACAGTGAGACAGCTCAAATGAGAATCACTGTTTGCGTACAGCCTGAGGACAGACAAATCACAAATGCGATCTCTTTAAAATCTCAATTGTCTCTACTAGAAAGGAGAGATTAAAGAGAGTTTTACATACGTCTCAGATGTTTCTCCAGACCTCAGTAATCTCACATGCGTCTCCAAAAGGAGATCTTAAAGTCTTGGGAATCGATTCAAACAAGAATTGATTCGGAGTTATTGGGTTGGAATCGATTCTATCAAAAGGGAATTAATTTCTCTTTAATATACTGTTTTACTTCAATAAAGCTAATTATGAATTTGTCTCTTAGTCGCTCGATAATAGTGATGGACAGTTCATTTTAGACGTTCTAGTTTGTTTCAATGAATCGGTTAAAAACAATTATTTTACATAGTCACATACATATTTCTAACAATTTAGTGTCATGGTATGTCACACTGTAACATTCAAATAAAGCCATATATGTAATCGCATATTGCTGATTATTACCTTTCATTCACTTAAGTTAATGAGTTACTAATATTTTACTATTTTAACTTGAGTTTGACAGCGATACATAAAACAATAGGCTTTATCTGTGCGTTGGACACACACACACACCTCTGCTCCTCTCCATTTCATTCTGTCAGTCTCTCTCAGATTCGCTGTCCTGATTGATTTTGTGGTTTGTTTCCAGCGTTTGCTTCGCATGTTGTTTGTTTTCAAGTGTCTATCTTGCAAATTGATACACTGAAACATGAAAATCAATTCCACACCAAACTGACCAACCAGCTCACACACATACACACACACACACACACACGTTTCCATGTTTTATGGGGACATTCCATAGGTGTAGCCTAATGGTTTTTATACTGTACAAACTGTATTTTTTATCCCCTTACCCTCAAAAAAAAAAAAAAAAAAACTTCATTCTGTATGATTTATAACCTGTTTTCCTCATGGGGACCAAAAAAATATCCCCACAAGGTCAAGGATTTTTTGATATTGCCATCTTTGTGGGGACATTTTGTTTAGATTTACCTGAACCACACACACCTATACACACAAATCATGGTGTCAGATTCATTAGGAAATATTAAAAAGTGAGAGAATTAAATCACATAATAGGTGTTACCGGTTCTTTCTCTTTCACACACGCACAAACTAAAAAAAAAAAAAAAAAAAAAAAAAACTATATAAAAAATTCAGAAAAAAATAAATAAAATAAAAAATGTTATAATAATAAATGACAAAATGCACAGTAAAAGTATTAAAACTTAAAGAATTTTAATGACAAAAAACTATTCCAAAATATTAATAAAAACTATAATAGTATCTCAATGATACTTAAGATAACACTGTACAAAACTGCACTGCATTATTTAACATAATTAAAACTACTTTAAACTATTTAAAATTGTTGCTTGCTTTATTTAAAAAGGCAAGCAAAATAAATTAAAATCTAGATAAACAAACCGTCCCATCCCTGGTGTGTGTTTGAGATTTTACTTTCATGTGGTTAATCAGCATTCACTAGAGAGGTTGTCAAGCAAACACAAAAACACAGTGTTTGAATATGAATTCCTCATTACAGCAATCACTAAAGCAAAAGCCAGATTTCACATCAACAGATATGATGGATGTTTGCATGAAAAGCTGTCAGGACGCAGCTCTCATCTTCAGACAGTCAGACTAAAGAAAACGCAGGACTGCAGCTGAGATCCGCTGAAATTATCCATTCAATCAAACCACAGACCTTCTATCAAATTCTCAAGTCTCAAGTCTCAAGTCTGCTTTATTGTCAATTCTTCCACATGTACAGCACATACACACAGAGAATTTAAATTGCGTTACTCTCAGACCCTTGGTGCATACAGATAACACTAACAGTAGAACATAAATACAGATATACAGATTAAATATAAAATACAACTATACAATTATACAAATAAGGTCCCTAATTATTACTGTGGCCAAAGCTGAATTTTCTGTCTTCAGTGTCACATGATCCTTCAGAATGCATTCTAATATGCTGATTCACTGCTCAAGAAACATTTCTGATTATTATCAATGATGAAAACAGTTAGAAAACGTAGTTTGCATCTCATCTGGCCATGCAGCGGTGGGATGTGTTGACAATCCGTTCAGTCTGTGCTTCACAAAGCGCGACATCACAGAATCAATCACAGAGACAATCACAAAATATGAAAGCTTGTGTTTTAAAGCGAAGCGCAACGTGAATCCCTGTTCTCTCTGCAATTTCTGGTTTCCTTTATATTAGCGCTGTTTTGGACGTATTCGCTTACTGGATCATTGGACTGAAAACTTTCTCAGAGTTTAACAGCTTAAAATGATCTGATCTCAAGCAGAGAAGCAAAATTGGGTTAAAGGGTTAGAATAGAATTTGAATTGTGCTTCAGTAATTTTGCGTTAATTGCGTTAAATTATTTTAACGCGTTAAGGATTGTAAAACTAATCACATGCATTAACGCGTTAACGTTGACAGCCCTAATATATATATATATTTGATGCCGAAGTCCGACCCAAGTGGAGCCGACTGACTGAGGGAGCCCGGCGAGGCTAAATGGCTGATGGTCCACACTGGAATTGAGGGTGGGAGGAGCACAGGCGCAGGAGTCTGGACAGCGGGACGAGGTGGAGCAGAGTCATCCGAGGCTGGAGGTGGGGCCACGGGCTCCTCAGGACCAGGAGACGTAGACTCCCGGCAGGCCTGAGATGGAGCCCCACCACTGAGAGGAGGTGACATAGAGGGACTAACGGGGGATGAAGATGACTGGACAGCAGGAGAGACTGAGGACTGAGTGGCTTATTCGGCAAGAACACATTACATGAATCAAAAGTGACAGTAAAGGCATTATTTGCTCACCAAAGCCAACTTTAACTTGCATTTGGACGTTGCCGGCTCCAGACTACAGCCTTTGATTTGATTCCCAGTAAAGTTCGCGATAAGAGCCGTCCTCACACAGGGTCAGATCTGAATGCTGGCTGAGATTAATCACTTTGATATTGAGAATACAGTATTTCTGTGTTCAATCCTCACATGACAGAACTTCAAACTCTATCTATGACTTTCATTTAAATTGAGGCTTGCGGCAAACGTGATGAACCTTAAAAAGATTTGCTGTGGTTCATATTTTTCTTGCCATGTCTCATGCAGATAACATCTTTGTGCTTGTGTGACGGTCCCACATGGGATTTGCACTGCATAGTGAATCTAGGCCAAGACGCGGGCTGTATGAGACCAGACTGTACGGCACTAATGATGAGAGGAACGGATCACTGCTGGCTGACGCTAGGGTTTCATGAGTTCTGCCGTCTCATCTATCTGTTTCTGATGAAGAAATAAACATTGCAAATACATTTTTAATGGCATAATAAAATCATAATGTCATCCTCCTTCTGGCCTGCTACCTATTTTCTTTTTCTCTTTCTGCCCGTTTACGCGTTTTATGGTGTTTCACATTTGGTTGGTTGAATGTGACAAGGAAAGTGCCTCAGTGCCACTATATATACAAAAAAAAAATACAATAATAATAATAATAAATAATCAAATCAGAAAAAACAGGATATAATTTTTTATTTAATATTTAAAAGTTCATATAATAATAAATGTAAAATTAATGTAAAATAATACTAAACAAGCAGCATAGAACATTTAGATTATCATTTAATTAAATTAAGTTAAACAAGCTAATATTTAATAAATAAATAAATAAAGCAATAAAGAATAAAACTGAAAATCAGCACATAACTTTTTTTTTTTAAAAGGTAAATAATTTATATTTTTAATTAAAAATAATGTATACAATATTTAATTAAAAAAGTATAAATAAATAAATAGCATTATAAAATAAAACTGAAAAGCAGCATATAACTTAAAAAAAAAAAAGAAGGTAAATAATTAATATATTTAGTTAAAAAGGAATACAATGTTTAAGTAAAAAGTATGTATGTATAAATAAATAAACCAGACTCCATGTGAACAATTATGACTTTTCTTTTTTTAGGATGAAGATCAGAACAAACCGTGTGTGCTCAAATCATCCTTACAAACACACATATTGCATTCAAAACTCTGTTAATTGTACTCAAACCGCATCTTTCAGTGAAGTTGGCCAGAAACCTACTTCTATTTGCCCTCTTTCTTTTCTCTTTTCGGTCTCTTTAAACCTACAGGAGAGTGTTTTTCTGCCAGTTAAACGGAGCTGGTCCCCAGCTCCAGATAAAGCGGTATTGCCCCTGTGCATAAATTGCAGGCAGTTTAAAGGGCAGATTGTTGTGTTGCCGTCTCTGTGCACCGCGTTTGCTGCCACTGCAGTTTGGCTCTGAAACGCTGACTAAACACCAAAACCATACCAATGCAAATGAAGCATTCGGAGAGAATTTCCCCATAACGAGGCTGTGATGAGGCCTGCACACACAATTAAATTCACTGAGAATGCATGCCATGCCACAATAACAGATTACGGCAAAGACAATGTTGCACTCAAACACACACACACGCACCGCACAGAAACACACACACGTTATTCTCTGAGCTCCTTAAATCTCTTGTCATGTCTTTAATGGACAAGATCATAATCCTCATTTCTCTTTAAAGTGAATAATTACAGGCTGAGGCTAATTAAATTAGTCAGGCTCAGCCACACTGCTTACACGGTCAGAGAGAGTTTAACCGTGGTGTGTGTGTGTGTCACAGCGTGAGTGTGTTTGCAGAAGTGCGCCGTGGGAGGCTGTTTATGAGAGAGAGAGCGAGAGAGATGAGGCTCTAAATTGTTTGTCTCTCTTGTCTAATAAAAATTAAGCAGAAGTGAATCGATACACTATGATTTAGGAGATCAATGTGGAAACTATGGCATTCTTTGAGACAGATACAGCAACACACACACGGCTGCAAAATAACACACATCAACTATTACCCACAATTTAGCTTATAACATCGTAGCATATAACATTTTAAAAGTTAATATTTTATCAGTGGCGGCTCGTCGGTGGAGGCAGGGGAGGCACAGCTTCCCCATAATTTTGAGGTGAAAATGGGAGGAGGACAATTTAATGTTAATAAAATTCACAATTAATTTCAGTTCATGTCTCAGAATGTGTATTTTTTGTTTGTAATTTCACAGTTGTAATAACATAACGTGAAAGCGCCACTTTTCTATTGCGAATGTGCCGAATCTGCTGATGTAATTGCAACCACTAATGATAGAGAAGGGGAGAGTGAGGCCGGGGGAGAGCTGAGCTCTCGTGCCTCTGTTGGTATCTGATATCAACCAATCATCAAAGAGACGTAAATTATGTGATATTAGTTTGAACATCTGCCGCTGCGCTGATAATGTACCAAGTACTTATGATGAGTAGCGGCCTCTATTTTAAAACCCACGAGCCGCCACTGTATTTTATATATATAGAAAATATAATAATAATAATAATAATTTCACAATAAAACTGAAAAAGCAGCATAGAACATCTATGAAAACTAATAATAAGAACTAGAAACATTTTAAAAGTTAATATATAGAAAATAAATGATCATTTTTAAATAAAACTGAAAATTTATTTATTTTTTTTCTGGCTGGTCCAGCTAATTGTAGGGTACTTTGGGAATGCCTCTGCGTGACCGTGTCCTGAACCATGTGTGAAATCAGTCCAATGGAATGGTGAGATGTCACAGACGGAGTGATGTAGAGACCAGGAAGCTTAAAAGCGCATCCAAAACAAACAGTATTAGCTTCTAATAGGTCGAAGCAAGCCACTCACAGGGATGCAGGAAGTATGGCAGGGAGACACAGCATCTTGTTCCCCTAGGGGAACCATGGTTACATACATAACCCGGAGATGTTCCCCTTCAGGGAATTCGCACTGCCTCAGAAACACTTTGGGAACGGCAATACCTACTCCACCATGCTGACAAATGCCTGTCTAGTGTGAAATTAATGCCAAACTGCCATCTGCTCTGATTGAGCTAATATCAACCAATCGTTGATGTAATTCAATACATGGATGCCCTGGAGTTGCAGAGGAGCCAGAATCACATCCACGCACTGGTGAAAGTGTGGGGTAACAGTGCTAGGCCGAAGGGATAAACCCAAATATTGGAATGCTTTGCCACCAAAAGTGAAACTCAGGAACTTCCTGTGTTGTGGAAGGAGGGATACATGGATGTATGCGTCCTTTATGGTGACAAACCAGTCCTCGGATCTGATTTGAGTCACAATCTGTTTTAATGTCCGCATCTTGATTGTGGACGTTTTGACAGAATGATTCAGTCGGCAAAGACCTAGAATGGGACGCAATCCCCCATCCTTCCATGGAACGATGAAGTACCGGATGTAGAACCCGGACACCCACTTGAGAGGAGGAACACGTTCTGTGGCCTCTTTGCTCATGAGAGTAACTACTTCCTGTTCCACTTCCAGAGCCTGCCCGGTACACACCATCTGCAGGACCCATTGAGACACATTTGGCAGAAGTTTCCACGCTGCCAAGAGGTCTACTAAGGGAACCAGTCTCTTGAGACTAGCCTCTGATACCCCTGCTATTTTGGGTCTATTGTACCTAGAGAGTTTAATTCAGTGTCCTGAAGCAGATGACTGGCAGGGAGTGACCAATTTACCCACTCTAGCAAACTCACTTGAGGGGATGAGCATTCTCGTGACGTACCACTGGAGACCGCTGTGCCCTGAAGCTCCAAAGGTGGCGGGGTTAACAGACCAGCCTCCTGAGGGCACTGAGGGGAGATGGGCACCGTATAATGAGGTGTGAACCACTTCTACCTAATTATGGGAACCAGCCTCTCAAGACTGGTCTCTTGAGCAATCAGCTCGGTGCCCTGAAGCGGATGACTGGCAGGGACAAACCGAACTGGATGCTTGATAACCTCCTCAGAGGATGTGAGCCTCCCAGTGTCCCATGAGAGCCACAAGAGAGCACTGTATTTAGAGAGTGAGGGAGGAGAAATGGTAAGGCCCATCTCCAATCCCTCTGCTAAATTAATATAGACATCTAAACTTCTCAAAGCCAGATGACTATTTCATCATTTAATTCCTCAGAATTAAATGTAGCCAAACAACCAGACAAGTAAAACATAAGCTGAATATTATAATAATACATGCAATTTAAAAGAATCATGAATAATAGCTTGCAAACACATTAATACATTTTCTTTTACATTACAAGAAAGAGAGAGAGAAAGGGAATCTCCTATCTGCTCAAAGTTTCCCCCTGCGTTATTTTGTTGCAGATCTGTAATGCACGCATTGCCTCAGTAAGGCGAGATCGAAGCCACTCGATTCTACATTGCATAACACTTTCTTTCCTTGAGAAGAAACGCCAACATTCCAGATAGTGCACACTAGTACACGTCGAGAATTTTATGAATGAACACAGCCAGCCCCCTCAAGAGCTGACTGCTTGATTCTCTCTCAAACAAACCACACATAAATCACGCTGATGCAGCAAGGGCATAGAGAAACACATGAGCTGAAATGCAGTCTGCTCATATGTAAGAGACTGAGGTGGCATTTCATCAGTCTCTTCTGTATAAATGTTAACAACATCATCCTCCTTGGAGGAAGATAGCTGCAGAATTGAGCTCTCATTTGGGGGGAAGAGACCGCAGTGCGGGCTTCCGAACCCTGAGAGAGAGCGCTAGATCCAGGGGGTGAAGGCAGAGAAAGGGCGAGTCCAGTTTCCAACCCCTCCTCTAGATCCATATGAGATCCCCACGATCTCAATCGCTGCCGTGCTTCAGAAATAGCGGGACCAGATCCACAAGGACCGCAAACATGGACACACTCCTCAAAGTGTGCCCAGCGGGAGCACGATGCTCACAGTCAGCCCCCTCAACTGTGCGTGCCCCGCTCCCAAACAAACAACACAATGATCGTATGTATTCACACCTGTAATGTTTAGCGTAGGCAGGGAAAAACACATGGTCTAA